GTTGATGTGTCATAACTGAGATTTAAAGTCATTGATGTGTTATAATCCAGATGCAGTTGAAAAAATTTGAAAATAACTTACCCCTTATACATTTAGTGGATTTGGTACTAAAAGACACTGAGAAATTGCAAGTGGTTCGTACGTACACAAATGGCTATTAGTACTCTTTGAAAGTTAAAACTCATTGGTCCAATTATATATGTCCGTCTACTNATTCTCCACTCCAAAATCTTAGTTACTTCTTGTCTAAAACCAAACCTTGCCCATTTGGTAGTCGTCTTTATATTGTAGATAAGTGTATGCTTTTTGAAATATGTATTTTTTTTTGGAAGTGGTTATTCACAATTACACTGTTGACATATATATAATAAGGCGAGATTACTTTAATATAAAACAAAGTCAAGATCATCCTTTATGGAGATCGTTTGTAAACAATGCTCAGCCTTGAAGGCATTAAGAGCTCAAATTCTTGTTTCCTTCACCTCTAATGGTAGAAGAAACTACAATTAGTCTTGGATCCCAATCATGTCCGAGAGCTAAAGATCGATGTTAAACCGATCATTTGTGAAGCCTCTTCGAAAGTGCTTCCAATTATTATCTATGAATCTAACCTTTTATCCTACCATTGTCATGCTTTGTATTTTATCTATGTATCAATTTCTATCGTTCTAAGAGCATACTCTCTGGCAAAGAGTTATTGGCTTCTTCATGTTGTAATCGCAAACTAAGTTTTTAATACAAATATGTTGACAAAAAAAAAGATTATTTATTAATAGTTAATCTCCTTTGACGACCAAAGACTGGTGAGGGACTCTCTTGATGTCAACAAAGGTAGAGTAATCTTTGTTCATAGGCTGTTTCCATGGCTCTCCATCCATTTGCATAAACGCATCTGTCCATTCTGATCCTCTTATCTCTAGCCGTATCGCTGCTGCCTAAAAATAAACACACACATACTTTTGCATTTTAGCTACCGCGGTTTCTCAAATGCATATATAACAACTATGTTCTGAAAATTCCACAAAAAAAAAACACATGATTTCGCAGAAAATGGATAGAGGATTTTGGGTTGAAAATATATAATCCCATTTCTCACTGCTATTTAAAATTCGGGATGAAAATGGAAAATTGAACATAAATTTCCGTGACTAAATACATGTTTTAAATGTACTTCAATTGGAAAATAAAGGAAACGATATGAAAAGAACAGTTGAATATACTTCAGTTTATGTATTTTTTAGGGTGCTTAATAATTTCTTAACAATAACATTTCAATTTGATGAATTTCTCACGTCCCATTTTTAGACGAGATTTAAAACTTTTAGTCTTACTGAGAAAACATTCCTATATGAAAAGAGAATTTATATTTGATGATACGAAAATATTGTCAACCCCTAGTTATGATGGGCTAGTTCGGTATGGTGACCATTCAGAATGTCTATGTAGGTTCGATAAGAATTCAAAATAGGCTATAGTATTCAGAATTCAGACCTAAAGTCTAGTCTTGAGACTTGAGAGCCAAATCAACGATTAAGCAAAAATAGTGCCCATAGTTAAATGCTTATGGTAGGATTAGTATTATATGCACCTAAATTTGTTCATAAACTAAAAACCGGTTCTAATAAACCGGATTTGACCTACACCAAAATAGAAGTACCTGTGCAATGTGTTTGGCAGAAATGAGTTCAACCATAACGAAGGAAGCATGCCATCCTTGCTTTAACCCAAAGATCTCGAGCAAACCATCATCAGCTTGTGCCTCCACAAAGCCTCTCTGTTACGTACAACTCAAGCAAGCGTGAATACTAATAAGAATTCATAAGAAGATTTTATGAAGTGAGAAGAAAATGAGTTTGTTTTTAGATACTTTTTCAAGATATTCTTGTTTGAGATTTCCCCAAGGGTTTCTTCCACTTCCATAGCTATTTAGATTCAATGCAACCACTGCTCTTACGCTGTCCCC